TGTAGTTCTGCAAATTGGTCTGAGTCTTTCCAGTTTCTCAACCATCACTTGGTTCCACTCCCATGGGAACTGTCGATGACTAATAAGCTTTTTATCAATCTAATTCTTATACAGAAACCCATTTATAAAATAGGAAAAAGCAGAAGTCTGCCTGAAGTGTTGAAGGGAATGAGAGGGTTCAGATGAATCACCCTGCCTATCTAGGGCTCTAAGGAAGATAGGGTGAAAGTCACCACTCCATGATAAAGTTTGATAAATCAAAACTCATTAACATGGCCTCTCATAAATGTTCAAGTTCACTTTAGCAGGGTTTCCTAAGTGTCAAATACCCATGTTTTAAGTATTTGTAAGCAATGCACCACCCCTGAAATAACAGCTTATGTGGGACTTCCACATATAAAGCAGATCAAAGACGTAGTCCATTCATTTAAACTCATTTTACAGTTTAATCATACACTACATATAAAGACAATCCCCCTCCTCCTCCTTCTCTTCCTCCTCCTCCTCCCCCTCCCCCTCCTCCTCCTTTATCTCCTCCTCCTCCTTTTTTTTTCTTTCTCTCCCTTTCTGTCTTTGTCTCTCACACACACTTTCTCTATCTCTTTATATATGTATATATGTGCATTTAACTTAAAACAACAACAAAAAACAAACAAAACAAAAAAATTGCCAAACTGTTTTCCAAAGTTGTTTTATCATTTTACATTCCCACCTAAAGTATATGAGAGTTCCAATTTCTCTGTATTTTTTACCAACACTTGGTATGGTCAGTATTTTTAATTTTAGCCATTCTAATAGGTTTGTAATGGTATCTCATTGTGATTTTAGTTTTGGATTTCCTTAATGACTGATAAGGTTGAAAATTTTCCCATATGCTTATTTGCTATCTACATATTTTCTTTGGTCAATTGTGCTCAAATATGTTGACCTTTTTTTTTTAGCCGAGTTGCTTTTTCCCCTTATTATTGAGTTTGAGAATTCTTTATATATCCTAAATTATCATATGTGTAATGTGAAAATATTTTCTCAAAGTCTGTGACATGTCTTCTCATTCTTTTACAAGTATCTTCTGAAGAGCATATGTTCTTAATTTTGATGAAACCTAGTTTATCATTTTTTTCTTATATGGATAATGTTTTTGGTGTCACATCCAAGACATTTTTGCATATGCCAAAGTCACAAAGGGGTACTCATCTTTATCTTAGAACTTTTATAGTTCTAAGTTTTATAGTTAGGCCTAGGATCCATTTTGACCTACTTTTTTAATATGGTGCAAAGCATGCATCAAAGCACATTGAGAGGGGGAGAGAGAGCAGGGGATACGGTTATCCAATTGCTGAAAAGTCTATCTTTTTTTCACCGAAATGCGTTTGTACTTACATGGAAACCTATTGACCATATGTGTGTAGGACTATTGTTTTCAGCTTTCTATTATGTTTCATTATGAAATAAATTTAGATTTACTGAAAAGTTAAAAAAGTAGTACAGAGTTCCTTCATACCCTTCACCCAGCTTCTACTGTCAAAATCTTCCACAACCATAGTAACAATAATCAAATTCAAAAAATAAATATTGACACAATATTGTTAAATAAACTACAGACTTATTAGAATTTCAACAATTTTTCAATAATATTTTTTTGTGTATGTTCCAGGATCTAACCCAGGATCCCTCATTGTGTTTGCTATCCTCTAACCTGTGGTACTTCTCTGGCCTTCTCTTGTCTTTCATGGCCTATGCCTTTTGAAGAGTACTGGTGAGTTATTTGTTGGCTATCCCTCAGCTTGATGTTTAGATCGACATTAGGCAATGTTGGCAAAAATCCAAATGAAGTGATGATATGTCTTTCTCAAGGGCATTATATCAGGGTATATCACATCCACATGTCAAATTATTATTAATTCATATTAAAATTACTATTTTTTTACATCAATACATAAATGCCTTGTAGTATTTTGTAAGTATGCTAATCTTTTCTTTGTCTTTGTGATGTGGGGTAACCAGTGATGTGTTTTATTAAAAGAGTGACTTGTATATTAGCAGAATCACTCTGGGTGCTGTGTTTGAGGGTAGAATGTACAGCGGTATGGTGTGAAGCAGGAGACCAGTAAAGCACCTGTTATAATGATATTGTTAAGAAATACCAGGTTAGTAGCTGTGGGTTGGGTGAGAGGTAGTCAGATTCTAATATATTTTGAAGGTAGCGCTTATAGGATTTTATTCAGGATGAATACTATGAATGAGAAAAGACAGTGTTTGAGGATAATTCCATAATTTTTGGCTTGAATACATGGATTATGAAAGATGCTGATTTGAATAGGAGCTTTAGAAGGTTATTGTTGGAATATTAAGATTGAGAAAACTATAAAACTTCCAAGAGGAATTTCAAGTAGGCAGGTGAATATATGAGCCTGGGATTCAAGAAAGTGAGAGGTCTAGGATGGAGTTATAAATTTTGGAGTCATTAGCATATAGATGGTTTTTAAAGCCATCAGAATGGATAAGATCATTAATGGAGAGAGTTAAGAGAGAAAGAAGTCTAAAACTCTGGGCATATTGATTAAGAGATTGGGGGGATGAGAAGGGAATAGCAGAGGAGATTATAAAGTAGACTGAAAACCAGTGGAGTGTGGAGTCCTAGAAGCCAAATGAAGAGAGTGATTCTGGGAGGAGAGAGTAGCTTGATGTTTCAAATGCAGTGGATAGATCAAGGGAATAAGGGTTAGAAATTGACCATTGAATTTAGTAACTTGAAAGTCATTAGCGACCTTGCCAAATGAGTTTCAGTGGAGTAGTGGAATAAAAACATTATTTGAGTGAGTTCAACAGAGATGGGGAAGAGAATTGGAAGCAGCAAGCATAGACAACAGTTTTAACACTATTCCCACACTCTGTAATGCATGTAAAGGAATGGGATGAAAGCTGAAAGAAGTGGACTAATGGGTATGTTTTTGTTTTAAATGGGATATAGTACAGCATATACTATCTTTGTGGGAATGATTCAGTAGAGAGGAGAAATCGATGATATAAAAGGGAGAGAATTGATGGCTTTGGGTAGAGAGGAAGGGATAGAATCTCATCCACAAATGAAGACAGAAGAATTTATAAGTCATACCTGTTAAAGAGAGGAAAGCAGAACAAATGCGTGGGTAAATGTGTAGATGTGAATGGGTGGATAATGGATGATGGTGTCCTGTAGAAATTCTTTTCTGATTGCTTGGGTGAGAGTAAGGATGGAGGCCGAGATCATGGAAGTTAGAAGAGAGAGGAGAAAGTCTGAAGACCATATAGGAGACTGAGGGAAAGAACAGATCTGGGAATCTAGTGTTATTTCCAGACAACACCTTACAGTGAGTGATTATACATTTTAAAGGGAACTACCTCCTGCTATACAGATGTAGGTGCAAGTAAGTAAGAAATTGAAGGTATATGACAGGGATTAAAGGTATTAAACATTATGATGCCTGGGCCTTGCTCACTTTTAGCTATTCATATTTATTTGGTTGGGGAAGGCCTTTGCCATTGGATTTTTTTAAGGCCCCCAACATGATCTAAGGCAAAGTCAGAATCACACCACTGAAGCATTACACAGCTTTTGCCTGAGGCACCAGAGGTATGGAGCAGTTGTCATGGGCTACAAGGCTAAAAAGATAAATTAAGAGCAGTTGTGATTTATTTATCTTACCTAATTCATTTTTGGATAATATCAGTCTACAATTTTTGCTTGGGGAAATTCCAAGCATTCTTAGAAAAGACAAGGGTAAAAAAATGTCTGACATTTGGCTTCTCTACCTCTATCATGGGAAAAATATCCAGAAAATTGAGACATAACATTTTAGGTATTTGACAGTTTTTTAAGAAAAATTTATACTGACTTGGATGGAAACAAATCAATGTGTGATCTTTATCAAAATATGTTATTTTTTTTTCAGCATAGAGGTTTTTATCCTAAGTTTCAGCCTGCAGCATTTTGTATGTAAAATTGAAGTTCTAACAGAAACTTACTGTGAAGAATATGTTTCACTCTTTTGATATGAAACACACTCTTAAGGTTACTGAAACTTTTTCTGTCTATAGATGGATTACACTGCACAGAAAAAAGGAATAAGCGTTTTTCTAAGATATGCCATATATCTTGTTTTGAAAGTAGATTTTGAATAAAAAGATTTCCTAAATGTCTTGTTCCCTGAAGCAGGAAAAACTACGGCAGTACTTGCTGTGCTTTTGGTAAACAACAGTTTTTCAGTCCTCAGAAATACAGCTAACATTTTTCAATTTGGGGAAAGGAAACATGCAAGTTTCAGGCTTACAGGACTTTTGTTTTATCAGCTCATGACGTTAAAAATTCACAGTGCTATCTGTATACATAGCAGATACTCTGAGACGATCGTTGGACCCATAAATGAGTATAAAATATAATACGATATTCTCTCCCTTTTCTGTCAAAAGTTGTAAAAATTTGCTTTGAAAAAAATATCTATTATTTCTGTCTTGTACTGAATAAGGCAGAATTCCCTATCTTTAATTCAAAGAAGTTTCATTTGAGCAAGGTTCAAGTAGGAATTAGATAACTTCCCTTTTGTTCCTCTGCTGGCTCTGAAACTACAGAAGAGAAGCAAGAAACCAAAATAATGAGGGATATATTGCACAAATATGACTTCATATAAATCCAAGCCAGATGCAAACCATTCAAGAGCTATGGAACTGCAGATAGCGAACTTTTAAGGGTTGCTATGGATGTCTATTCCCTCTGCTGGCATTTATGCTTCTGTTGTCAAGGTTCACTTACACCAGTTTAGACGATTCCTTGGAAACAAAGTTCAGTGTTACCGCTGCTCCAGGAGCACAGGAATTCTTTGATGAGCTCTAAGAGATTGGTAACAGTACCTCCTGTAGGGCCAGGTTGCTAGGTTACAGCGTGTTTCCTTGGTCACGGTGAACACATGGGAGACCCCCAAAAGAGACTGCAGATTCTTGGTGGACAGCTCTCATATGCCCTCCTGGGAGCATGATGAAAAATGTCTTCAGAAAAATAGCTTTATGAAGGCCAGAGGGACTTTATGTACCGGCAAGACATGTCCGAGAGGTAAGAAAATGAAATGTTAAAAGTAACCTAAGTCATTACTTGAGAGAAAACAAACCAAGACAGATTGTGTTACTGGATTTAATTTCACTAAAAAATGTAAAGTCATGCAACTGTGTTACTGATAATGGTTGCTTTGGGAGAGAAGCAAACCCCACTGCTACCCTCTCCCCTAAAACAATGCAACTGGTTACAAGTGCAATGCAGTTTCTGTGATCATTGCTATAGCAGAAGGAAGTGGACTTACTGTTTCAGGAATGGCATGTCTATAGA